AACGAAACCTGTACAAAAGCCAAAATTCAGGTGACCATGAGGCAGCAGGCACCAAATCTAGCCAAACCATGAAATACCTTGTTCTTCCACGAGTTTAGGATTCATATCATGAAGTTTGGCGACGCATACCGCTGCAGTTTTACGCACGTATGGATCTTCATCCTGTAAAAGATGTGAGCAATTTCTTATAAAAGTGCATTATATAGAAAATTAGGAAGCTATGCCCACCAACCTTCATGCACTTACGAAGAGGTTCGCACAGGTATTCCGTAATTTTCTCAACACGGATGCAACCCATAGTGCGAACAGCAAGCGCTCGAATTAACGGATTCGTATCTTCGCAATCCTAAGCTAGGCATCTTTGTTGTCAAAAAAAAATTTTTATGACGCATGTGACGAACCTTGACAAAAGTATTAACTGCCATTATGGCAAGATCGGGTTGACTCTTGGCATAATTCATAAGGTACAAGTACACGAGTTTTTTCAATTCCACATTATCCGTCTGCATGCAGTTAACAACATCCGGAAATAGTGCGCTTAAAATAGGATTTAGTTAAAAGCACAAAATGGAATTGCAATTTTTTAAATGGAAGACATATGTTCGGATTTTGGTAGCCGCAATTTAGTAAGTGTTTTCAGTTCCATTTGATTTGTCGTATGTAAGACAGCACTAAAAAGCCTACTGCGTGCTCTAATACTGATTTGGTTTTTTTTTTCATCACAATGTGAAAGATTTGTAGAGGACGAATTGCACATAGATACAAATTTGTTTTCTTGTTCCAATTGAAAAACAGGGATCAATGATAAAAGCTACGATTACAATTACGTATGGCGCTTCAAATTCGGGAAAAAACTAGAGATTGAGCAGATGCTGAACAGCGCTAACGAACACATTGTGCAGTGGTTGTACAATATGTTAAAGTGAGCCATACTTTGAGTTGTGGATGGTGATGGAAATAGGGTGAGTGGGTACAATAAACAAAAAGAAAAAACGTTAAATCAGAATTTCCCTTGAA